CCACCCTACCCTCCTCCCCTCTGCACAATCTTTCTCCCTCACCCTTTTCTTTCCAGTGATTTTGGCAGAGATGTACAACATTTGCACACAAGAATGTTCTTTCACTCTCGTTCACTACCTTCACCATCATTGTCATCAGAATACTTGGAACACTGGAGATGCTACAGAGGGCATCAGCCAGTACTGTGCTATTCATGTGAATAGTCTACTTTCTTCATCAAAAGCATTCAGGAACAAGAACATTTATAAATTTTTGATGCCACAGAAAACACATGAATATTGACCTGTTAAGTCTGTATGTGGATTATTCTATTATGTCTGGACTGAGTCTGCTCAGTGAGGAGGCTATTGTGCCCACCTGGGAATGAACTGATGTGGGGGTCATGGCAGCTGTGTCTGGAAGCTCTGCCATGTGTGGCAGCTGGGGTGCTTCAGGTGTGTTCTTCCAGTGTCCCCTGGCCCACTAACCCACAGACAAATGCAACTCCTATGCTTTCCCACACAAGGGAAGCAAATGTGGCTTCATGCTGGAAAGGTAAACAAATCCACACTGAGCCACCATCAAGTCTTGTAGGGTCATGGTATGGTGTCTCAGCCAGGGGTCACCTTCCTGTCACCATTGCTGAAAGCTGCCTGCTTTGAATCTTGTGACTGTTGATGGCTGTGTTGTGAGAATGACGGCCAGGGCCTACAGCTCCTGGATCTACTGTTCAGGCAACTGGGGTGAGGGAGGAGGCCACAGCTATCCCAGCAGAGGTACACATCAAGGCCAGGAAATTCTGAGAATATGCAGCCCTTGTATCCCAGCCAGTGAGGACAGTATGGGCCACTGTGCTCAGGGGCCAAGGCTGAATGCTGCTGCCTCTTGGAAGCCACCCAGGCTGGAGAGCCAGGCAGCTGAGGTTGGGTATCCTGACAGCAAGGCCTGCTTTGCCTTTGGATTCTTCCTTCTAACCTTTCACTGGGACCTGCCTGCCCTTGGGCGGCTGGAGAAACAGCTCATCTCCCCTTGCTCTCTTTCCCACACCCAAGAAGAGCCTGGGAGAGAAGACAAGGTGGCTCATATGCATCATGTGGGGCCGGAGGGAAGGGGATGGAGCAGTTCCAGGTGTGGCATCCATTGGAAGATTTCTCTGGTGAAACTTTGTGCTGTGGGCTGCAAAGTCCCCAGAGCCTCCTGGAGCAGTTTAGTACAGACCATGAAGATGACCATAGCTATTTCCAGTTTGAGTCATGGCCTTAGAAGCTTGTGCTGTGACCACTCTTCTTGACCCAAGCCTTAGCTAAATTTCTGTCCTGCCCTTGGTAAGGCTGGTACAGTCCTCACCCCTTAGTTCATGACACAGAGTGCATGTAATACTTGTTTCTGATTCCATTGTTGCTAAAGGAATACCAGTCACTCCTTGCCCTTGTGCTGTCCTGCCCTCTTCTGCCCTGGCCAGTCCTGCCCCCTCCAAAGCCTGAGAGTGGACAGCTTTTTCCCTGGCTACAATCATCAGGAGACCATCTGGATCTGGGGAAATTAGCTCTCATGCCTGGGAAAATATGCCAAAAGATAAGTACCAGCTGACTCCAGTTAAAGCCAAGTCCAGGAGAAGCAGGAATGCCTTGGAGCAGACACTGGGCCTGAAACTGCTGGAGAGGTGTAGAGAACTCATTCACCATGGTTTGACTTCAGTAATACACAGAACAAAATCACAACTGGACAATCCTGCATGTGAGCACTGGTTCCGGGAATTTGGCCCCTGTAGCACTCTAAAATGTCGTGTCCTTGCAGTTATTCCTGTGGGGATCTCCAGGAAAGAGTGGACCCAGGCAACCTGCCCCTCTGACCCTCTGGCAACCTAGTCCTGGGGCTGAGCCAGGAGCTAAGCAGTTGATTGAGGCACAGCCTTAGATTACCTCAAACCTTCCCTGTTCAGAGTTCTTGTCCGAAATCCAGGGGGGTACTGAAGCCTGAATAAATTGGGCTGGGTCAGACAAATCCTGGCCTAGGCATTCTCTAAACACTAAATTCAAACTATAACCCCAAACAAATGCCTCCAGCCTCCTTCGCTTCTACAGTGCCTTTCCCAAAGCCTCTTCCAGCTCTGTAATTCCATTTATCCTTATCTGCTCTGAGAACTAGGAAGGAAAAGCATCATCTCTTCCTCTTTCTTATCTTTCAGATGGAGAAACTAAGGCACAGAGAGTTTAAGTGACTGCCCAAGCAGAACAGGGCCTCAGTTGCATCTCACGGGAGTGCACCATTTAGGGCCTGCCTGACCATGTAAACGGAGAAACAGGGCAAGACCAAACTTTCTTCCTGTCGGAAACTACAGGTCCAGCTATGGGAACTACTGCTACTGCACAGTAGGCACCAAGCTTCTCCCATGGTTAGAATGTTACCAGCTGACTGAGTAGCTTGAAGGAGGCTACGGAGGAGCCAAATGCCAGCCCCCACCCACACATGCTCTACAAGGCAGCTCTTGACCTCTGAACCCAGGCCACTCTGCACACCAGGAGAGCAGTGCCTCTTGCTCCCTTGCAATCTCTCCTCATCTAACAAGCATGGCCTGGTTTGTACATGTACAGTCCTTCCTGTACTGTGTGACAGGATGGGGAGGGTGGCTCCCTGACCAAGAGAAGCAACTGTCAATGGAGGAGGCAGACAACAGAGTACTTGCCAACACCCCAGAGTGCCAGTCACTTCTAACTCTGCCTATCTAAAGTCAAACAGGATATCAAGAATGCCCCTGAGCTCTGTTTCTGTCTTTGCTGGGCAGCCCAAGACAACTGGTTCTTGGAAACATTCTGCATTTGCTGAACACAATGGGCTAAGGAGTGACTGACAAGTGAGTAAGCCTTCAGCTGCTTCTTCCCAATGGCTACAAAAGGACATGCCAAAAAGCAAACAGCCCCCATGTCTTGGTCATCTTAGGCTGCCATAACAAAATACTACAGATGGGGGGCTTCAACAACAGATCTCTATTTTTCACCATTCTGAAGGCTGAAAGTCCAAAATGAAGGTTCCAGCAAGATAGTTTTTTTTTTTTTTAATGTTTGTTTATTTTTGAGAGCAGGCAGGGGAGGGTAGAGGGAGAGGGAGACAGAGAATCTGAAACAGGGTCCAGGCTCCAAGCTGTCAGCACAGAGCCTAATGTGGGGCTTGAATTCATGAACTGGGAGATCATGACCTGAGCTGAAGTCAGACACCCAACTGACTGAGCCACGCAAGCACCCCAGGAAGGTATTTTATTCTGATACTTCTTCTCTTCACTTATAGGTAGCCACCATCTTGCTCTGTACTGATATGACCTCTTCCTTATGCACACAAGGTGAGAGAGGGAGCAAGCTCTCTGTGTCTCTTCTTTTCTTTTAATTTTTTTATTTTTTTAAATTTACATCCAAATTAGTTAGCATATAGTGCAACAATGATTTCAGGAGTAGATTCCTTAATTCCCCTTACCCATTTAGCCCATCTCCCCTCCCACAACCCCTCCAGTAACCCTCAGTTTGTTCTCCATATTTATGAGTCTCTTCTGTTTTGTCCCCCCTCCCTGTTTTTATATTATTTTTGTTTCCCTTCCCTTATGTTCATCTGTTTTGTCTCTTAAAGTCCTCATATGAGTGAAGTCATATGCTTTTTGTCTTTCTCTGACTTTATCTGGTATGTCATTTGCAAATATCTTCTCCCATTCTGTCGGTTGCCTTTTAGTTTTGCTGATTGTTTCCTTCTTACTAAGGCATTACTCCCATTATGGGGGTCCCAATCTTATGACCTCATCTGAACCTAAGTGCCTCCCAAGGGCACCACCTTCAAATACTATCACTTTGGGAGAGGGTAGGGGGTTAATATATGAATTTGACGGGGATACATTCAGTCCATACCACCCTGGTAGAGATCAGGTTTCCTATGGGTGTGAGGCCTCATGTGCCCCCTTTAACTTGTCACTGAAGACTGAGGGTTTCCTTTGCCTTATTCCAGCAATGACTCTTTATCTTAAGACAGATATTAAAGGCTCAGGATGACTTCTGATAAGGTTATCCAAGTGTCCCCTCCCCTCTCCTCTCATCTTCTGTGCAGACAGCTGGGAACATGCTCTCCTTGGTGTTTGGCCAGTGAACAAATCACTTTTCCTCCAAGGTGTCATCCCTGGAAGAAAAGCTATAGTCAAGAGAGAAGGAACATGCATGCAGAGCATCCAGGCTGACCCTTGAGGTGAAGCAGAGCATGGGCTACATGCAATGGGTAACCTCTACGCCCACTGTTTTGGGCCTGGTGGGCCTGTGGATGCCCTTGGCATCAATGAAAGAGCCATCAGCCTTGGCAAATGTGGCAGGGAGCTGAAGCATACATGAGGGACCCAACTCTAGGAAAGGAGCCTGGTACCAGGATCCTGGTACCAATTAAGTCAGTACCATTTTTAGGTTCCAAAAATTAGTCATAAGTTCACAGAGTTGCAACGAAAGACAATTTTTATTAAGCATTGGAACTGTGATTATTTCAGTACAAAGCGCCTGTGTTAATCTGATTGCAGCTTCCCACAGTTGGAATGCCATTCCCTTGGGTTTCCCAAACATGACTGTGGAGGAGATGCAGGGCCTGGTCATCAAGGCCAAGGCTTTGGCTTGTGGCTTAAGACAGAACAGCTTCTTACTAGATTGAAAACCATGCTGGAAAATGTTTCTTGGCAGAAAAAAGGTATTCTAACTTGCAGCCTCTGCAACATGCCTGCCCATGGTAGAATAGGTGTGTGAAAGGTCAAGCAGGGTAGGTGGGGACAGTGGTCTCCTGCTGTGGCCTGGCTACTGTCACATACTAGCACACTAGGGATCACAGGCTGCCGCTGAAACACAACTTCCAAGAAACAGGTTGTGCTCAACAATCCCAAACAGAACTTATCAAGAAATAAAAGAAAGTACCCACCCCATTCTTCAACCCCTACTCCAAGGGATTCTGTAAGCCTTGGAGTTCCCCTGGCCATGCAGGCCTCATTGGTCTGTCTGTCCCTCTTCTCTCAAGGTTCAGTATGAAAATCCCACTGGTGTTCATCCAAGCTGGACTGTTCTGCAGACATGAAATAGTTGATTTGGCCTGGTGTTAATTCATCATGGTCCTGGAAAGCCTCTGAATCTGGAGATCCCTGGCTTCCTACTTCAGTAGTCGGCACCTGCTAAGAAAAAGGGGGACAAGGTGAGAAGCTCCCTTTAGTTCAAGTCAGCAAGCTACTGAGAAATATCTTTGGAACACATGCCTACAAGGTGCTGCTAGAAGTGCAGCTGGGGAAAACGGGGTTCCTCTCCACTTTCATGTTTCAACATCATCTTGCCTGAAAGACCAGCAGAAGTAGCACTGGGCTCTCCCAAAGTTGTCTTAATGCCTAAGGCTACTGAGTTCTGTGTCTGGCCCTCCCTAGCCCAGCTTCTCGGCCAGTCATGGCTAGCTGAAGGCTTGGAAGGTCTCTTCCTGCCCCTACCCTTGGACCTTGCTATTACTCTGCTCAGACTAAGTAACTTCATTGCTAAGCCTCACTTACCAGTGAGGTACTTGGCCCACTTGAACAATGCGATGGGAAAGGTAACAACAACCCACTCTAAGTTGTACAGTGGGGACGAGGGGCAGACACAAAAGTGGTATTACAGAGTAGGCTGGGGGAGCCTTTTCTGTTTGAGGAGGAAGGATCCCTTGGGTTGGGTTTTGAGGGTGATGTAAGATTTCAAGAAGTACAACCAAAGGGGTGGAAGAGAATACAGAAGAACAGACAGAGCAGGGCTGGGCTATGGGAAGAAAGATGGATATGCTTGGGGACTTGGGGACAGGGAGTGCCCAGAGGACAGTGGAAATGAGTCAAGGCAGGGTGTGGGGAGCCCCTGAAGTCTTGTGGACAAGGAAGCTCCCACATGGTCCTGCCCTTGGCCATTCCACTGCATTCTCCCAACAACCTCCCAGGGGTCCTCCCTTCTCCACTTCCCTGGGATACCTGTTCAGTTTTGTCTCAGCTCTGCTTATAAGGACCCATCCAGACGACAGTGCCTCAAAAGGAGACATGATGAAGGGTTTAACCAGAGTCTGGCTTGGTAACTCAACTACAGGGTCCACTGAGCATCTGGTCTCTTTGCATGAGAAGTCCCTCTCATGGATCAACTTTTCCGAGGACTGGCAGTCCAGTTGGTCCAGGTGTGTATGTGAAAATAATCACACTTTAGCCATTTAAAATAACCAAACTCCCTCATCCTGCATTGGCCTACTGTTTTTTTCCTCTTCTTGTTCTTGATAGTTTTGAAAATCAGAGGTTAGACTCCATCAAGGTTTCTAAATCCAGAATCAAAACACCTTTATAAGTGTTTTTAGTCATATTGAGAATTTATGGTCCCAAGGGGCTTTCTGGGAGTGTATCTGGGAGCAAAATCCAATATGTGACTGCCATCTGGACCAGCTGCTAACACTGCCCTGGAAACATGACTATTACAGACGGTCCCCAAAGTGGGGTCTGTCCTGCCAAATATGGAGCACCCTGTGGATGAATACCAAGTACATTCCATAGAAGAACCCTTGTTTATTTTCAGTACAAGGAAACATACTCACACTAGGCTCTGGACTTTGTACGAGAGAACTAAAGATCCACAGGTTCAGAAAGGGGCCTGGCCTCTGGCAATGATTTCAGCATATGGCATGACTCACTTTGCCCAGGTAACATATGTTTAAGAAATTTCCATGTGATATTGCATTTAATATACATGAGGACAGCTCACTTTTTCATGGAACCCTGAAGAGAATCTTTTTACTCAGCAGTGCCTGCCACCACCATGTGAGTAACCACCCTCAAATTTACTGAGCTTTGAAGCCTGGATTTCACACAGATAGCATACTCCTGTTGTGTGTGCCTTTTGGGGAAAAGACCCAGCCTCCATACAGAACCCCTGACCTGGGCTGGGGAGGAGAGGAGAAAGGAATGGTATACCTGGGCCCAGGTGGCTTGGTCCTGCATAGTGGCCTGCTCACTGGAAGGATAAGTATTCACTTGGAAGTAAATGTGATACTGTGGATCTGGTGGCTGTTGCCAAAGTTGAATGTAATCCTGCGAGGTCTCCAGGGTGACTCAGTTTGAGTCAGAATTTATGGGAGACTCAGAAAAGCTGGTAGAGGAACCTGTCTCAGAGCTGGGACTATACAGCAGTGGCAGCAGATTGATGGGGGACCCCTGCTGGTCCTCAGAAAGAAAACTGAAAGAAACATGTCACAGTGACGTGGATCAGGGAACAATGATGACCCAGGAGCCATTGCCTTGCTCATCAGTAGGTGCTTGTGGCACATTTCGTTTTGGTGGCTAAATCAGGATTCACTGGTTTGCACTCTCACTTTGCCTGAGTAAGATTCCATTTGCCACATTAAAGTGAATGTAAAGATTGAGATGAATTAGTCTTTTGTCTCAAGTAGTTTTATTTGTTTTACTTGGACAGTCCTGGCTCTGCCACATGCCTTAATGCAAGTTACTTTACCCACCCAAAGTCAGTGCCTTGCCCTTTGTCACTGAAGGAGCTGGTAGCTGGATGGGGGTGCCAGGCCAGTTCCTCATTGCAAGTCCAGCACTCTCTCTAAAATGCTATGTCTGGGGCTCTTGGGATAAATAGGGACTTCCGAATTTGTACTTTCCACAACTTCCTCAAGTGGATTCTGATGATCAGGCCAGTGCAAAACATGGCACTAACCCACCTACCCCACATATCAGGGTCACTGATCCTACAGGAAGGCCCAGAAGGAAATCTGGAGCTCTGGGAGGCTCACACAGAGAACTGGCATTCATTCAAAAATATTTATTGGGCATCAAGCATGTGCTATATACAACCCCTTCATTGCTGAGCAGAGCCTTCTCTTTCTGGAATTTGGGGCCACAGACTATCACTGAACAAAAAATGTGTTCGTGTCCTCATACTGCCTCCAGGGCTTAGTCCTTCTGTGATGTTAGCTCTTTGGAATCCATTGGCCATCAAGCAAATGTTTCATACCCACTTCTCTCCCACAGATTGCCAATCCATGGGGACCCCTTCATCTGGTCTGTTGTGATCACCGGATCCCAGTGAAGTGGGAGAAGAAAACTGAGAGCCCAAGAGTTATTCAGATATGGGCACTCAAGACTTCCCTATAAGATACCCTGTGCCATGAGTCTGGGCTTGTGTGGATGAAGCCAAGAGATTTCGAGATTTGCATGCTAATTCCCTAGCTTGGGGGTGTACTCATCTAGGCCTTCTATTTTCATGGAGACTCCTCTGTTCCATCAATGCATGCTTGGCCACACACTGTGAACACAGAGGTAGGGAACCAGTGGCCACAGAGCAAGATGGGTGGGAGCATGCTGCTTTTGATGAGGGCGCTTTTGGTGTCCCGTGGACAAGTCATTCATGGTTTTAGGCATGGCACCCAGTCATGAGGGGAAAGCAGGGATCTTAGCCACTGCCACCGTCCCATGCACTTCTTCCCTCTGACTGTCATCTTTGAGGCCCCCAAGGTTTTCATCTTGACAGTTGTTAGGGGGATGTTGTCCAGCCATTAACTGGACAGGAACAACGATGGGCTGGTTCTGCATAAATGTAACAAGGTCATCACAGAGGGGCACAGCCATGCCAGCCTGGTTTAGCAGGCGTATTTGCAGCATCTGGTTTCCCACAGGATCTGCTGCTACAGGTATTGTTCCTGCCCCTGCACATGTTGCATCCAAAGGAAAGAGATGACAGTACCTCAGTGTCTGCAAGAGCCCCCCGGAGATTGCTGGAATGCTCCCCCTCTGTTCTCCTGAAGCAGAAGATGACTGGCCCTGCATCTCTGGGCTTGGTCTGGGTGCTATCTTACTTGTTTGCTAAGGCACTAGTTGCAGTCATGCTCTTGGCTAAATAAGCTACAATTCAGAACATATGTACATGTATGTGTGGATGTGTGTCCAGGTCTAGTTAGTCAAGATTTTTTTTTTTATCTCAGGTAAATGAACTGCAACCAAGTAGCCACTACACCCTCAGGAGAACCAGGTGAGCCCCAATTTTCATGAAAGTCAAATCTCCTTTCAGCTACGTAGTTAAAACAGCCTTTCCCTACCTGGTTGGAGGCATCACAAGGCTCCTCAAGCTCCTCAGGGAATTTGAAATAGCGGGAAGATGAACCACAGGAAAGGCTCGTGTCCTTGAAATCTGGGAAGGGCCCCTCCATTTGCTCAGTGCGCGGTTTCTTGGGCACTGGCTCCAAAGACTGGGGCTCAGGACAGTGAAGGTGGTGTGAGGTGGTTGGCTGCATCTGTAAGGATTTGTAATGTATCACAAAGGTCTTATTCAGGAGCCACACCTTTCCTCAGGGCATGGAGTGACAGTGCCTTCAGGTAGGCTCACAGGAAGCCCTGGTTGTATATAAGGCTGTCTGCCACTGCCAGAGCCCAGCTGGGCCCATTTCAGCCACTGAAGCCAAGAGACAAAGAGCAAAGCCAGATGTCACTGCTGAATACTACTCCAAATGTCCCATGCCGTCCTGGAGCAGCTGCTGTCACTACTAGCAGGCCCTACTAACTCCTTGAAAACTATCAAGGTCCCTTTCTCCTCTCCCTTTTGCCTCTTACTTACATGGAACTGGCCTCTGATCTGAAAGCCGGAATCCTCTATTCTCCGAAGCTGCTCCTTCATCATTTCCAGTGCGTCTTGCAGGCTTCTGATCTCAGCCTGCAGCATCCGAGTCTTTTCTTCCAGCTGCTCCCTAAACTTCCTCATCAGCCCCAGCTCCCGTTTGTTGATGTACAATGCAACTGACGGTGGTGGTTCTAATAGCTGTGGGGAGGAATTGCTTGTGGTTCATAGATAGGGACACCAGGTTCTCCAAATCCTACCATATTGCTTTATTTCCAAGTTTTTAAAGACTGAGAATGTGAATGATGTCACTCCACTCCCAATTTCATTCGTTACTAGAAAGTCTGAAGAAATGGTTACAGAATCCAGGATTTCTAGATCAGAAATGGATCATGGGAATCATTTAGTCAGATTTTTTGCCTCAAAACATAAAGCTGTGGAATTGGCCCCAAAGTGTGAAGCAACCTGCCCGAAGTCCTTAGTGGAAGACTCGGAATGCAGTGAGTCATATCACAGATGAGGCATGTGGGAAACATCTATCAGATGCCCCTGTTGGCAATGTGGTAAGAGGAACGGTCAACTTGCACTTCCTTTGTTCCAGGTGCTCTTATAAGCACTACAAAGAAATCCACAGATCTGACCTTCACAATGTCCTCTAAAGTAAGTGCTGTCCATACAGTTATAGTAGAGGTAACAGGGGCCTGAAACAGACCAGAGGAAGGACACGTACAAATGAAGGGACATATTTGAGAGAATTTAATAAAGTGGACATGGCTTCTCAACTAGCTAGCTAAGGGGGCAGGAAAGAGGCGGGGTTCTTGGAAAAAAGCTATCTGTGAAAGCTATCATTCGCCTGATCTGGGCTATATATTGTGTGTATAAACAAGATGAGAGAGCCACAGTGTCAGTATTAATGATGAGAAGGTACATATGGATGCGACTACTAGAAAACAAAAACAAAAGTCTGTTCTGTGGCCTTCTATTCTATACTGTGGCCTTAAACCCCTTTATGGCTAATGGAAGCACACAGCTGAATTATTAAAGAGAGACAGAGGAAAATACATGCAAGTTGTTTTTCTCACTTGGAATAAAAAATCATATATGTATTTTTAAGCCATTGAAAATTGTCCAATTGTCCTTTTTTTGTTATATAGTATATAGATCTTCATATAAGAAATCAGGCATTCAGTACACCTGGGTGGTTCAGTCAGCTAAGCATCCAACTTTGACTCAGGTCATGATCTCATGGTTCATGGGTTCTAGCCCCATGTTGGGCTCTGTGCTGACAGCTCAGAGCCTGGAGCCTGCTTCAGATTCTGTGTCTCCCTCTCTCTCACCACCCCCCCACCCCGCCACACATGCTCTAATTCTCTTTCAAAAATATATAAATATTTAAAAAAAAGAAAGCAGGCTTTCAACAAACAAATGAAATGAAATGAAATGAAATGAAATATAAAATAAAATAAAATAAAATAAAATAAAATAAAATAAAAAGTCTAAACTCAAGACTGGAAGCGACAAACCTTATAGGTTATCACATCCACACTCCCATTCTCCAAGCAGGAATCTTTTCTCTGCTGTCTTTGGTAGATGAGCTACCAAGCCTGTCTCAAACTTTTCTGTTGAAGGTGAGGAAGCTCACCACCTGGGGAGGTAACCTAACTCATCTAAGAAAGGCTTTCTTCAGAGGAATGGAAAGTTGCCAGTCCTGAGCTGCTAGCTCTCCACCCTAGTTTGATCCACTGGAGACTTGTCTTCTACTTCAGGAACATGATGGCTATGCAGCTACTTGGATCAGGCTGTCCTGTCCCTTCCCAGCCTCCCTTCTCCAATGCCTTCCACTATGACTACCTCCCACTACTGACAATATGACATTTTTCAGCCTTCCTCCATCCTGTCTCCATCTTCTGGCTACATTCCAGCCTGTCAATCCATGGCACCCCAAAATAAGCCCAATAAGCCCATGTACCACATGCAGAACTGTATTATGCACACTCAAGGCTGGTTATTTTGACTATTTTAAACAAATATTATATTGAAAGTTTAGTTATAAATTCATTCAAAGCAGAAGAGAAACATCAACAGTGGAAGGGGAACCACAGCATTTTGGCATAATAAAGACATAAATAAGGACAAAATGGATTTATACAGAAATTTTCTTTTAAATTGTTCAAAAATTTTTCATAGCAGTCCAAAAATCCCTGCAAGGCAAGCAGACCATCTCAAGATGGAGAAACTGATATGCCGGGATGTGCCAAAGTCACTGCACACTGTCTTCTATCCCTCAGTTCTTCTCATTACAATAGGGAGTGACTCATCTTAGGCTTCATAATTAATGCACACAATTCCATGTAACAAACCATAAACTCATTATCTTGCCTACCAATCCTGATTTTAATAATCTTGTCTATTATAAAAGATGATTGTCCAAATCTGTCATTATGTACACAAATTTGAGGACAGAAGAGCAACAGAGTAGTTAATCCAAATGTATTGATTTGGCCTCAGACCATACATCAATGTTGACATTTGAAGGTTGGCTACATCTAACATTCTGAAAGGCATGCTTCTAACCTAACAAAAATTCCATTGGAGAAACCTAGCTTGTGGTGTGGAGGTGCTGCTATGGTAAGCAGGAAAGTCATCTTTCTTGGAGATGGTTAGCATCCCCTCACAGGTGATAAGGAACAGTGCTTTAAAGTACTGCCTTTCCCAAGGGAATTAAAATCAAAAGTGAACTATTGGGACCTCATCAAGATAAAAAGCTTCTGTACAGCAAAGGAAACAATCAATAAAACTAAAAGGCAACTGATGGAATGGGAAAAGATATTTGCAAATGACATATCGGATAAAAGGCTAGTATCTAAAATCTATAAAGAACTCACCAAACTCCACACCTGAAAAACAAATAATCCAGTGAAGAAATGGGTAGAAGACATGAATAGAAACTTTTCCAAAGAAGACATCCGGATGGCCAACAGACACATGAAAAGATGCTCAATGTCACTCCTCATCAGGGAAATACAAATCAAAACCACACTCAGATACCATTTCGTGTCAATCAGAGTGGCTAAAATGAACAAATCAGGAGACTATAGATGC